TGTAGTAAGGGTAGCTCGACGAGATATCCCGGAATCCCAACCATTTCCTACACAACCATGAATGCTTGCCACCACCTCATGCCATAATCTCTCTCTCTCTCGGGGCCATCTCCATAGCCACTTCCCTAGAAGGGCTACATTCTTCAACACTATCTTCCCAGAACCTTATTCTTGTACCATCTCCGACTGACAAACTAGTTAAGCATCTGAACTCCGGATTGAATTTCATAATTCCCTTCCAAACACTCATCGCATATGAAGATCTCACCTCCATGGATTCCCACCCAAATCTCACCATCCCATACTTACCCACCACCACTCTTCTCCATAATGAGTTTTCCTCCTTCTCCATAACCACTTCCCTACCAAGGCCATATTGAAGATCGTCACTCTCCTAAATCCCAACCCACCATTTTCTTTTGGTTTACAAACTCTCCCCCAATTTACCAAATGAAACTTCTTCATCCTGCCTTCCCCACATACCCCTTCCCATAGAAGTCCCTCTGGACTTTTTCAATTCTTTCAGCCACTTGAGATGGAATCTGTTGAGAATGTAAGGGCATTTTTGTCCTTTTATGTTTTTTGTATTAGGGTGCCTATTCAAGGGCATCGTTGTAATTTTGCTCAATATGTTAAATGGAAGTTTTCCAGGTGTGAACAGTAAAACACTAGCATTCTCAACAAAACCTCCATCTCTAAACCTTCTAACTTGGTATCAGAGCATCATACAATCAAGGAAACTATCTACTACTAGTCGTGACTCACAGATAGACCTATTGGCATCAGCACAACGTCGGTTGATGTCAACAGTCCGTAAAGTCGATGGCATCCGTATGTGTTTCTGATACACGATGATGGGCCTCATTTTTAGAGGAATTTTGGTATATATTTCATGGTAGTTTGAAGCAGTTTTATATTTTTCTTGGATTTTTCGAATGAAAATTAGCGAAAAATCCATATCTGAAGTTTAGGGCTTTCATGCTCGTATGGTGGGTTGGTTGTTGTTGAAACCACTTGTGTTTGAGTGGTAAATCCCTAAGACTACAAGAAGTAGTCCTAGATTTTTTGGAACCCTAAAACATTTTTGGGGAATTTTCTTCCCCTGTTTTGCTGCTAGCACCTCTTTTTCCTGGTTTTATTGTTGTAGATCGTGTTTAACCTTGTGGGAAAGGTATTTCGGAGTTTAGTTGGTGTTGGGATACAATGGTGATCGTGAGAAAGGTGTTTTAGAGGGCTTGTGATCGATGGACTCACACAAAGATGTTCGCATACCTATCTATGTCCTCCTGAGAAGTAATGACAATGTCGGAGGGCAGATTACTACTGTAAAACTTGATGGAACAAATTTTCTCTCAATCAGCTAAGCTTACAATCGGTGGAAGAGGTAAGCTTGGATTTATTAACAGTAAGGAAGCAAATCATTCCAAATGGAAGCAGGATAATCTATTGGTTATGTCATGACTTGTATGCTCTATGCAATCACACATCACCCACAACTATATGTTCCTTCTAACAGCCAAGGATATTTGGGACAGACTAACTACAACTTATTCTCAATCGAAAAACACTGCTAGAATCTATTAGTTGCAAAGAGAAGCATGCAATATGCAACAAGGGGAGAAATCAGTGGCCATGTATTTCTCCTCCTTACAATCAATTTGGCAAGAAATTGATCACTTAGAGGCTTTGGAGTGGAAGGATCCTGTTGATATTGAACAGTATAGGAAGTACATTGAGAAAAACCAAGCTTTTTATTTTCTTGCTAGATTGAATGTTGATTATGACTTCACCAAGCAATACATCCTTTGTGTTGATATTTTGTCACTCCCCATAGCATATTCTCTTTTAAAGAATGAAGAGAGTAGGAGGAATGCTATGATGCAAGTGTCTGTAGGTGAGCACACTACTCTTGTGTCCACGAAGCCCAAACAAAGTTTTAGTAAACCTGAAAAGGTATTTTGTGAGTATT